ATTCAAGCTGAATGATCCCTTTGTTCAATTCTGTTTTCTGGGAGCAACATTAAATGCATCTCCCTTTGAATTTAAAACCTTTCTAAATTATTTAGTACTACATACCGCAGACTCTGATTAAATTTTGCACAGAGTAGTGAGATTGTTTCCCAGGTAGGTCATCACTCAGTTCAGTTTACTACTCAGAATTTCTTTCGTTCTCAGTCAAAACACAGCAAGGGCCATCCATCATTATCAGTTTGTCCTTTAATTTTTCTGTCAGCCTTTGTCAAGCTTGAAACAAAGCCTTTACATTTTTATCAACTACAGCCAGTGTTGTCTGAATTGTGCTCAGTCATTTCAGAATATTAGTTGTGTTTTCACCAAACAAGTCGAATATTTTCAATAGGTCAGATCTATCTTTCACGTAAGCCTGTTAAACCAAACAGAACCATTTCTCATTTCTTTGGAAATGGAGAGTAAAAATGCTTAGGGCCAAATCTGCAGTGAGAGTAAATTGTCCAGTCTCCCTACACTTAAATGGATGAATGTCGTCTGCCACAATAAGAAGAATGCAGCATCAGTTCAAGAAAGAAGGAGAGGAAAGCACAAAATTATGGTCGGGCAGTGCTTGCCAGTGTTTTTCAGCTGATCTTGCACAATGCTATTCTGCTACTTGTAAACAGACTAGATATGTGCCTGTTCTAAAGAGCAGCCTCCCAAAAGAGCCAAGCACTACATGCTCCTCTTTTTAGCATCCACAATCAGCCATCAGCTAACCTGCTGTCTGCCTTCACCTTGCCACTGCTAGTGCAGTTTAAAGGCATGCTAACATGCAATAGTGGCCCTTGAAACATGCAGGTAAAACCTTCCCCATACTTCTCTATGCATCCACTGTACTGTGACACTACTTCAGGTCTTAAAAGAGAGAGTCCTCTTAGTATTTGCAGCTCTTCTGAAACCCTGCTTGTGCTGCTAGACAGAGGTTAGAAGCCTCTCTCTTTCACTGAAAATCTAGATCAGGTCTTATATATAACCGTAGGGAAATTCATGTAAAAGAGTTTTGACTAAAGTCAGTAAGTCCTCTCTATGTAACATCTAACCCATTTTCAATTTCCAGAAGCTATTATGGAAACAATCAGTTCTTGGTGAATCACTAGTATTTCAGAGGTAGTAAGGTGATGAAATGAATACCAGGTTAAGTACATTACTGAATTTTTGGCTGAATATCTTCCACCAGAAGTTCATTTCAGTAGTGAGACTTGAAACCTAACAGTGACAATTATTACTTGACTTCTAGATCTCTAAGTATGGCTTTTCTATGTTTGGTTCCACATCTGCAAAATATGGCTATTTTCTGCTTCACAGGAGGCTAAGGGTTAATACTTTAGTATTATGGAAATAGTGATCAGGTCCATTAATTTAGGTATGACTACCTGAATTAAAAAGTTCCACTTTGCATGGTCTCTTGATCATAATTACCTTCAGTATTTAAGGGTGTGGGAGTCAAAACAAAAATTTGGTTTTGGCTGAACGTTTTGTACAACCAGATTCAGAAACTGCAAGGCCAGAAAATAGAATGAAGTATCTCTGCAACATGCATTTATTATGCAGAAACCTGCCAGTCCGTGCTATTAAGGTACTTCTTTGCGGAGGCTCAAGAATTGGTCAAATCTGTATAACATCTTTGATAGTGTTTCTCTCAAAAACTGTTAAAGAGGAAGCTGTGATTAACGTGTCTGCCTCACTAGTAGCCTGATAGGTGTACCCCAAAGTGAAAGCAGTGACAGAAAGTCCTACAGAACTAGCAACAGTCAAATTATAATTCCCTCTTCTGGCATGTAAATGAAACAGCATACCCTCTTTAGAATACTGGATGAGATTAATGTGCCTTAAACAGAAGCCTGTGCAGTTGAGTATCAATCAGTTTATATTTGCAATGTGTCTGATTATGGGAGCTACCAACCCCACTCACCTCCTACATGTCCAATAAATGAGGATAGAATGAGGGGCACTGCATCTTCTTTTTCTTTATTTTGAAGTCCATGATTTGCGTTCTGTCATTAAAAAAAATAATAATTATCAAGACTGGTAGGGTTTTTGCAAGAACCTGTAGATCTTCCTAGAAGAAATGAGGAGCCTTTCTGTCAGGGAAACTCAGTAGGACTGGTGGGCCCAAATATTCAAGTCTTTTGAATGTGGGACTTCGAGTACATTTCAGACTGCTAATCTATATCTAGACTTGGGCTGCCAAAATAGGTTTTAAGGATGAAATATGGTCCAGGAGTTCCAAAACCTGTTGTCTGTAGAGTGGTTAGCTGTTTTGTCACTTCACACATACCTTCCCATAACACACAAACATAATTAAAGAAGAGATTCTATTATGTAGAGCCAAGGCATCCGCAGAATGCAGAGTGAACTTAGATTTCATTGGCCAATGAAAGGCTCATCAGGATGATTCCTGGTTCTTATCTTGTACTTCAGTTACTTCAGAGCAAGTAATGGTAATGCTATGAGCAAAGCAGACCAGCTACAGTCATTTGCATGGTGAATTTCTCCTTACTCTAGTAAGAAAGAAACAAAGCCAGTCCTAGTCCTCGTATTTATGTTTCCTTTGAGAACGTGTTTTTCTCTGAGGCTTCTGAAAAACTGCTGCATTGATGTTTGGCATTACAGTTAGTGATTCTGATAAGGAAACTAATTTCTGCATAAGTTTTCATTGTTCTCGATGTGATCAGAAAAGATGAACCTACGTATCTGTATTAAAACACTTATCTCCTAGTCCTTGTTAATCAGTCTCAGTTTCCTATGTGGGCTTTCTTTTAATATAAGAATTCTTGCTGGAAATACTTCAGCCAGAAGAGAAACCAGAAAACAATGAGCTTCTAAACTCACCAGTGATTCGTTTATGACAGTGTTTTGCACACTGAGTAGACAATGTGCTCTTAGAACAAAAAACACTGCTGTAAAACCATAGCTGTCTTTTCCAGTTGCAGCTGAATTGCCTTTGCATAGTCTTAAGTAAATGATATATTTAAGAAAGGTAACCAAGAGAACCATAAGTCATGTTAATTATTTTTTTATGTACAAGACTTATTTGTAAAGCTTTTCTAATAAACAAGGCTTTGCTTTCCTTATGAAGGAGGTAGGGATTTTTTTTTTTTCCTGTTAGATTTCATTTTTACCAGATACCTATCTAAGAAGGAGTTTCCCATTATGAGAAATAATTGCATAGATCAGTACATATGGCATGTATCTTTTTAACATTAATGTAATTCTAATGCTTGTTAAACTCAGTGGTGTTAAATTATTGTGGTACTTGCATCCAGGTAATGTTTCAGGTTTTTTCCTGATGATTAATGTAGTTATGCTGGCTTTTTTGAAAAGCCTGGTTTAATTTTTCTGGTTTGGGAATATTTTATATTGTAAGCCAGATGTAAATGTCAGTGTACAGCAGATGAAAGAGAGATCTCATGCAGATCATGATCTGATGGTTTCCAAAGTGGGAAAACCCACAGGTATAGGTTCTGGAGAGAATAGTGCTGGTGTTCATCAACACCAGAGGAGTACAGGACACAGTAGGTGACCCATAGGTATTTACAGACAAGGAGACTTTTTAAGTATCAAAGCAATCTGTCATCCATCATGAAAATAAGGCAAACATTTTAATTTGAAGTCTTAAGAGTGTAATTATACCATGCTGAACTCAAGGGCCCTGTCTCTAAAATGTCTTCTGTTGAGCCCAATATTGTAAAGAGCTGAGCTGCTTTAGCTTCCATTGATTTTAGTCAGAATTGATGGTACTCAGAGACCAATTGCATTTCCTTCCACAGCAAGAGAAGATAGATCATGGGTCAGATTTTTGCTCCTTTATTGCATTGAATAGCACCCTTCAGAAATGTTTTTACTGAAATCAGTGTGGAATGGCTTACTCATGAACAACTGATGAGAAACTAGTCCTTTCCTTTTAAAGCTGTGGTATAAATAATCTGAAAAACGTCAGATGCTTTTTACTTCCTCACAGAAGTGCTTTTCTGTAGTTCTCTTCAGGGCTTTTGTTTGTTTGTTCTTTAAAACCTGCAATCACCTTATAAGCAAAGTGATACTGGTCTTTATTGCTTCTGGCAGTGTAATCGAAGTATTTTCAATCTGTACATCTGGTTATTTTCTGCTCTGTACTGGAATGTTTTGCAACAGAGATTGTTGGTTCCTCTGCAAGGAAGTGGCAACTTTAAGCTTGGCATACCTGCACTTCATAAGAAGCTGAAGGGTTTTGTAGCATACTCTTCATCAGGGCTTTGCATCTTTTCTGATTTGTACATTTACTAACAACAATATTATTGGCCTTTCTGATTTTTCAGTTCTAAGGCATATATTAATGATAACCTGTAAGTATTAAGGATGATTGCAAGATGACTTTGCTTGATAATTAGGGTAAAGATTTTGAAATATACTCTGCTCTGGATCTTAGCAGACAACTGTGTCTTAAACGAATGTGTGGGAAGAAGAAAAGCAATCCGGAAAAAGCAGCTCTTATAGTTAGTAGCATTTTCTCCCCTTTTTCCTTCCATTGAGTCTGTCTGAAAGTGGGTGTTTTTAACATACAGCCATTTCTCGTTAACATGTGTGTGTTTATTTTAGCATGATGGTGTTGTTTTTTCATCTCCCACTCTGACACAGCATGTTTCATCTGTATATGGTTTCTACTATATGAGACATTTAAAATGGCTCAGTGAAGAAATGGATTCTTGTCACTTAAACATTCACTCTCCAGATCTGTGGAAACTCAGTCATTTTAACAGTGTTTTAAATTCTGTATGCTAGCAGATTGACTATAAAAATTGAGAGTGATATAATGTCAAGAATTTAAAGGTACGCTGTTGTACCGGTAATAATTTATGTTAATCATGTTTTAATTTAGTCATTTTCAACATACTTGTATTTACAAATTAAACCGCTATTATGGTTCTCCTTTGTTTGCATGATATGATTTTATTTTATATTTTTTTTCCACTCACCAGATGTTTTCAACACTTTGCTTCCCACTACTGTCATCCCCTCCCTTACCACTGCAACAGTCACAACCACTGTAGCCTTAACAACCAGCACAACCACATCAGCAACAGCCAACAGCACCAGAGGTACAGTATGCTTCTTTGTTATGGCCTGAAAAACACGTTATAAATAGGAAATTATAGGCTTGATTTTCTTTTCTTTTTTTTTTTTTTAAAGTTTCTTTAAAGTTTAAAGTTTTTTTTAAAATTTTCTTTTTTTTTTTTTTTTTTTGAGTTCAGTATACATTTAACAGAATAATCCACATGATGGTACATGGTTAAGAAAGATTTCATATGACCTTGAATATTTTCATAGCTCTAGCGGTATGTATGTGAACTTTGACAGGATGCTTAAATTATTTGTATACATTTGCATTTAATTTTTTTAAGGTTAGTAAATTAACTTTAATGTAAAATGCAAGCAAGCTATTTTTAAATAAACATGACCTTTTAAGACTGGTTATTTTGGGTGCTAATGTTTAAAACAAGATAAGTGTCTTGGCATTGGAATTACTGTTGATGAAATCCTGCCTGGTAACAAAGAGACATCACATTTTAGTCTTATTAGTTTTTTATAATTTAAGGTATTCCTAACTTAGGGGTGTCTTTTTCTTACTGTAACTACAGTAAATGAGCTGAAATTTCTCTATACTGATTTGCTAGAATTGTTGTTGGTGTTTTTTTTGTTTTTGTGTGTGTGTGTGTTTCTAGTATTGCTTTTCTTTGTTATGAGCAAAATATAAAGCTTAATTTTACTGTCATATTTAATGACTAATAAATAGTGCATGTGTGTTTGCAAGGTTTCACAGGTAATCATAATCTGGGTAAGGAATAGTTAGTAATCTTTCACAGTGTATGAAATGGGAGAAGGTTCCTATGTGGCCTGTTGATGGCTTTTGTTGTACAAGGAGAGAGGAAATAATACTCAGTTATCACAACACAATATTCATATGATGAGTTACAATTATCCCAAGAAAGCTGAGACAGTCATGAAATCTTTTCTTTCTGGAAGTACTGCTAAGAATCAGTTGTAGTGACCTGCCTAACTTGCAAGAATAAGCTGAGCTAAATGCAAGTCCATTGTATAAAGATTGTGATGGTATCAGATCACCCAGCTTCTTCCTCCATAGGGCATTGGTATTTTAATATTGTGGCCTTCATGTAATAAACTGACATCAAACATGAAATTACATTTTTAAGCTTTAATATTAGAGTGTGAAAATATGTTTTAGCAAAAAGGAAAAGGAATACTGTAACAGTTCTTTCTTCAAGGAAAAAAAAATAAATAAAGGAGAGATCATGGAAGACAGCCCAATGCTCCAATGGTTGAATAGTAACAAGAGGAGTATGTTTTGAAAAGGAACAGAGAGGTAGGGATGAGCATGCTTTTATAGAGAGTATTTTGAGTGAAGCAGCAAAAGCTTCTCAGCTTTCTGAGGGCATTTCTCTGGAAGGACGAAGTGCTTGGTGTGTTCCATGTTAGTTGTCTTTAATTGTTTTCTTCCTGTTGTTAGATGATCGTGACTATCCTATATCTCTGATATGATTGTATATTTAGTGTACCACTGTTATTAAAATATTCTGTTGCCTCCTAAGTGTCGGTTAGTACCTCATTTTCCATTACTCTTAAGTGTTCATTTTTACTACCTAATCACTGGCATTAAGAGGAAGAGCTGGGAAAGAGGACCCTCTTCTAAGCTTCAGCTCTATTACACATTAGAAAGTATGTTATTTGATGCTACAGTAGCAAAGAGATACTACTTATGAGAGAGTAAAAGAGCAAGGAAATCTGGGTGAAAGTGATCAATCAGTAAAAGATCAGAGCTCACTTTTTCTGGAAAAAGAAGGGAATGCAGCAAAATGACTGAGAAGATGAGGCTGTTTCAAACCCTTTCAAGGAAGTGGTAGATAAAGTCTCTTGGCCAGAAAATCTAAAGAACCTAGGAAGTGAGGAAAGCTGTTTCTGGAACAGTTTGTATTGGAAATAGAAAATAAATAAAAAAATGAGTCTACCCCAAAGCAGAGGAAAAATAGGACATACAGTAGACTAGTGAAGTACTGTCTAACAATTTAAGAAATCAAAAACCACAAAAATATGAAAACAGAAGAGAGAATTACTGTAAGTATAAGTTACAGTGTAAGACAATCACAGAAAAACAGGAGTAAATTCAGAAACAAGATGCAAAACTAACTGCAACAAGCAAGGTATGAGAAATGAAACAGCAAAAGGGTATAAAAATACATTAGATGAAAGACAAAAATAAAGAAATTCAGTGATCCTATTCGTGAATGATTAGGACAAAGCAGAAGTAATTTGTGTTTTATCCAAGCAATGGATGACAACTTGAGTGCTGTTTTTAATAGGGGTGTTGCACTGGAAGATGACCACAGATAGAGACAGACCAAAGAACAAGAACAGAAGGTTTAAAAATATAATCTGTAAGGAAGCTGAAGGCACCAGTTTGTTTGGTTTTGCTCCCCCCACCCAAAAAAAAAAAAAAAAAAAAGTCAATAGGACTGTGATGAGCAGTTGTTTTTCGAGCTCAATGGGGAAAATAAATCCACTGAATTAGTGGTAAAAGCATTTAATGGGGAAACTTTCGAAATGTACAGGAAGCAGTGACGCAGTGTAGCTATCAAAATTTTAGGATTTCGTTCATTAGAGTTGCTTTCTTTCAATGTATTTGATTGCCATGGCAGAGGGAAATGGGCAAGATGCTCTCCTGTCTGTCTTGGACTCATTAATAAATAATCATAAACCTACAGTGAATGTTGTAAGGGCTGTGTTCTGCCATTTCTCTTCATCCTGAAATGCTAGACGGAACCTCATCTAGATTGGCAAAGCACCTACACAGCTGAAATACAGGTTGCATAAGAACCAACCTGGAGAGGATCACATTTTCAGTAGTATCTTCTTCTGGCTGAGCAAGAATTACCATATAAACATATTTTCCTTTGGCACTTCTGCTTCTTAGTCAGTCAGAGTTCTGACTTGAAGGAGTGCATAAAGTCATGAAGTTGATACACTATTCATATATTTTCATTCTACGGACCAATTTATCTTTTTATATATATTTATTGTGCTTTCCAGGTAGGTTGGAAGCAGCATTTTTCTTTCTTGTAGTCTATTGGTTCTTGTTTGATCATTCCTTAAAGAAGAAGTTTGCTCCACGTCATAGGGTAGTACATGCTAGATAATTGTATCTTTGAACAGGATTTCTAACACATGAGATTCTTTCCACTGGATTTGCAACAGCTGACATAATATTCCTGCTGAGAATATTTCACTAGTACTATCATAGATACTTTTGAATGACCTTAGGTAAATTTTACAGGATGTTCCTCTATTCTACAAGACCCTTACACAGTCCACCTTGAGGATATGTTACTGCACATCAGTCACGGGAAATGCCATTATAGGAATATAATACAGGGTTTAAAGAGCCCAGAGTCTGTAGATCTAAGGCCTTTTACATTATGTTAACTGCACCTCTTCATTACTAAAAGCCTGAATTAATGGGGGGGCGGATGAAATCATCAGTTATTTCTGGAACAGTGTGACCCATCTCTGTCTTAATCTGCACGGAGTTTAGTAAACAGCATGAAAAAAAGCTACTGACCCAGTTGAATAATAACATGGTGATTCATAAACATCCTCTTTTGTCAAACTTTTCACTTTCTGAGACAAACATATGCTTGATTTTGTACTCAGTCCTTCAGGAATTAATTATTCTTTTACTGGTACATTACCAACTAACTCAGAAGTCTAAACACAGTTTGAAGTCAGACGAAAGTATTGTTTTTTATATATTTGTCAAGGGTATCTTAAAGCCTAATAAGAATGCAAAGAAATGTACGACAAAATGAGAATAAAATGTATCAGAAGAAAAGATTCTAGGGGACTAAAGAAGGAATAATTATATGAGTAGTTTCCCTTCTATCAGGTCTATGTTACATTATCTGTGAAAACTGTGCGTAGATCCATACTATTGTTCCTTTTTTATGACTGGGAAGAGGCACAAAAAGACTGTGGATTTGCCCATAGTAGGGGAAAGGGGATCCCTCTCTTGGGGAGATCCTTTGTTAGTATAAAGTTAATTTAGATGGACCTCCTTCAAAGTCCTATAGGTGAAGAGAGACTTGTAGGTAGTGTAGGAAAAGTCACCTCAACTCAGAATAACTCTTCATGTTTCTGGATTTGCAGAAGAGAAAAGCTTGTGCTCGTAGTATTTAAACACACAAATGTACACAAAACCCTCTCTAGGCTGCAGTGATTAACACAATGTTAATCCTTCCCTCAACTTTTTGTTTGTTTGTTTGTTTGTTTTCATTTTAAACCCTTTCATAGCAATGTAAAAAAAAAAAAAAAAAAAAAAAAAGATGATGAAAACTGGGTAATTCTGACTTCTTTTTATTGAAGACTGAAGTCTCACAACTCCCTATCACCACGACCCACATACAAATAGGTATAAAAGTAACACTGCAAGATCATTCCAAAGTCAAAAGATAGATCCATTCAGTTCTATTGTATGTATCTGTCTGAGTCAGTCCCAGCTGACTCACTTGTATGATGACTGTGCCAGAATGTTCACAGCTTTATATAGCAATGCCTAAAAACATCTCCAAAAGTCATTGCACATAAGAGATATGAGGTTACTCCCAGGCAGCTGCACTACAAAGTCCAAGAGTTTGTTTAACAGTCAGGGTATCCAGATAGTGAATGAATACACACATTCATTTAAAAAAAAAATAAAATAAAATCTCTGCTCTATTATAATTCTCTTTGATTTTATTGTTCTGGGCTCTGGGGTAAAAGAAAGATTTCTTAGAAGAGATACAGAGAACTAAATTTAGAAGACTTTACAATGGATTAAGGAAAGATTTGAAGGTGTGATCATTTTGATAAATTATTATAAATTCAAAGTATGAATATTTCCACTTAATAACATGCATTTCAACAATCTTAGCTAGAAAATTACCTTCTTTTTGTTCCATTTTTGGAATTTACATAAGAAAAAAAATAAAGAGCAATCTGATTATGGGTAGTTAAAATGCAGGAATTATTTGGGCAATACTTCTATTTCTCA